GCACGGTTTTTCAAATAATGCCATCGATTAAAATAACGATTTCTGCAATTATTTTAATCTGAAAAAAAGCAACCTGACTTTTTTTTTTTACGTATCTAAATATTAAAATTTCTGTTCTTCTGTTACATCAAAGCTGACTAATATATTTGAAGCTAACGTTAATAAAAAGACATGTGTTAAATGCTTAAAGGAGGTATAGATTCTGAACGTGATAATTTTAAAAAGAGAATCTTACTACAGTACTATCAAAAACATGAAAAATATTCAGGAGATAATAAGCAGTGCATATTCTTTTATTATTTTTTAATAAACAAATGTCTTTTTTTATTAATCTTCTTGGAAAAACAAATGTTGCATTTTTCGAAAAATATATTTTAAGATTTTTTTATTAATCTTCTTGGAAAATGGATGTTGCATTTTTCGAAAAGTATATTTTAAGATTTTTATATTCATTAATTTGCTAAAACTAAAATTCTAATAATTTAGATTAAACGAAATTTGAGATATTTTCTTATCTCTACTATCTAATTCAGAGTTTGTACATTTTAGCAGTTCTGATTGGTTACTAGCAAATAACATGACGTCATGGCAAAACCTGAAGTGCAGATCACATTACATACTTCGATCATCATTTGCATTGTTGTCTCAGACCAGATTCAATCCAGGCTGGATACTAAATACATCCACGAACAAATTTTTATCTATATAATTCAATCATGAAGTTCCGCACTTTAACATTTTTGGTTAGTTATGGCAATAAACTATCCGCTTATAATTAAAATTACCTTTGCCTCATGATTACTGGATTACGATATTTTAAATCATTGATACTGTAATATATGGGCACTACCAACGATCTGGAATTATATTTTGTGATGACTTATCATAAAATATAATTAAAAGCCGATGATAGATTTTCTCTAGACGACACTCAGGGACCGACTGTACTCAAAATCTCTACCATCTAATCCGGAGTTCGTCCGTTTAAACGTATTTGATTGGTTACAAATCCATTACAGCATTTATGGTTATTCACCGTAAACTAAATGTCATAATAATAAACTTGCACGATTTAGCAGTTTTGATATCACTAAAAATCATCAACAACAGAGAAAAAACCTGCTATAAACTTCGCCAAACCTGAAATGCAGATCACATTACATACTTTGATCGTCGTTGTAATTTTATGCAATTTCTGGTCGGATCCATTGGATTTAGACTGGGTTGTAAAATTATCAGGTATTTTATGCGATATAGAAATGATCTGCAATATACTAAAAGATTATTCTAAAACCGATTTATATTTAAAAAAAAGCATTTTTTATTATCTAAAAATAACAGTTTTAAAAAAAAACAAAATTTTCTTGCAAAGTTATTCTATGAATATGTAGTCTAGGAATCCCCGAGGCGGTTTTGTGCCAAATAATAACACAGCTAATAATTGGTACGTACGTACGTACGTACGTACAAATTTCGTGCCATAGAATTAAAAAGAATTTTCCAAATGATCTTTTACCAAAAAGAAAAATGATCTGCGTTATACAAATTTGTGTACAGTTGCCTCCGAAAGTTTGTCACAGTTACACAAAAACATAGTCAAATATCGATATCCAAAACGATATAATTTATTGCACAAAGTAATGTATTTAAGGGCTTTTAGTTAGTAGAGTAGGTTATCTTTCTTTTTGCTATCGCTCGCCTTGTAGTGAAGGCTGGCTTTATCGTCCCACCCCTCCCACCCGTCTCTCAGTAACTCGTAAACTAAGGGCAATTTATTGATACTCGTTTAGGAAGCTTTTGGTGGTTGCTATTATGCTCTGTGGCTTTCACTGGTAGCAAAGAATACCATATTTGGTAATTAGGCTTCAGCTACCATAAGCAATGCATGGACTTCAGTTGCCCCATGGCTGCTGTATGCAGTGCTAGAACCTCATGTTTGGTGGCTAGGCTCCACAGCTATTATTGACAGTGCAAGGACCTATGTCTTAGTTTCACTTCGTTGACAGATAATACTATATAACCGATTCTTTTTATAGCTATGTGACTACAATCTGGTCTACAATATGTTTTAATGGTCAGAGAGATGTAATGAGTTATAAGATGAGCATGACAGACAATATAAATTTGGAAATAATGATTGGTGGCTTAGCGTAACTTAAAAAAATTTTTTATATAGCTTTAGATTACGATTCTTTCTCATGATTACTCAGAACCTGTCAATTTAACTGGTTCAAAAAAAAAAAGAGACCAAAAGATTATAGAGTGACCTATTCACTGTTAAAATTAATCAAAAATAATCTTAGTATTTCATCTTCTAGTTGAGAGATCAGTTTCTTAGAAAATAGAAGACATTTCAAATCAAGATTTTATCAAAAGCTGTGTAGTTGAAGTTTGTAAAGAAGAAGTAGCATCTGGATGGAGGAAGATAACTGATCACGAACTAAGTAAAGCAGAAGCCAACAGAACTTTAGCTTCATATTATGTAGACCACAAAGATGAGTATATGTGTCTAAGCTGTATAATAGAATTGTAGTAAACGGAAGTGATTTTTTTAAAAAGCATGCACTAGAATGGGAAATAGGTTTGAAAAAACATAGAAAGAGTGATAAATTTTCTATGTTTGAAAGTATTAAGTTGCTAGCTAATATTATTTTTCAAGAGATGTTTTAGGAGAAAATAGGCCTATCATTGATTTTTTATAGCTCAGGACTTTTGTGAAAAAGGAAAGCAATTTATTGACTTCATTTTTTGATGAAATTGAAGCAGTAGCTAATATATAAAATAGAAATAAAGATAAAAGATGAGAACTCAATTGATCCCTAGCATATCAATGTTATTTAATATGCAAGAATCAAAATAAAGCTATGTCACATTGGGATCTTAAAGATGAAAAATTGAAAGGCAATCAATTTTCTTTTTTTTTAAAATCTCTATCACATATTTGTTTTTCATAAAAATATTAATTTTAGGTAAAGAGTTTACATAGGTGGATGGTGTGGTTGTGTTGACAAATTTGCTTTATGGTAGAGAAAAGAAGCAGAAGTTGCTACCAATTTATAGTTTTCAAGAATTGTGAAGGGAAATAGAAGACAAGAATCATTGGTTAAGTATTTTTTAATTCATTTCTATTTATGATGCTGCAAATTTGTTTGAAAGAAGCACAAAGTATTTAGAAAAGCTAGACAAAGTCTAGCTTTCAAGTGTTATCTTATATGTGGCAATCGTAACTCAAAATTAACTTTATTTAAGACAGAAATATCTATATTTTTAAATTTAATAAAAACAGCTCATGAAGCAATTGATGCTGGAGTTACAATTATATCTTGTCACATAGATCAGAAAAAAGCTGATATTGCAGAACTACATGATGATTTGGTTAATAGTTACTTTAATAAGAATATAAAAAGAGCAATGATACTTAACATTGATGATTATCATAATATTCATAGCAAGCGAACATCTGATACTTGCTCTACATCAATAGCATCTTATATAATAACTTTGTTATTAAATTCAGTTGAAACTGATACCATTCTGATCTATAGATCAAATGGCATCTCAATTCACAATTCTATACTAATAGATTTTAATATTATTTCAAAATATTTAGACAAAAAATATATGAAATGCATGGCATTTACCTCTAGCGAAGCTTTCTCCTATAAAATTCCATTCGATACAAGGTTAGAGGTATTATCTTTGCATTTGTATGACGATCAAATCAAGGTTTGAGAAGAAGAACATAAAATGAAAGACAGTATACTATTTGATTTTTATAAACAAGAGCTCAAGACTGTAGACTCATATATTAATAATTTGAAAAGATTGAATAGTATTGACACATTAGAGTCTTATTTAGGTAATCATGTTGTGCTTGTGGTAGCAGATTGGCCTGGGCAAATATTTATAAAAAATACAATTAGTCTTTATTTACAGGATCTGAATAATTCAAAAATACTAGGTGTGATATCTATTTATATGTATTTAATTTTGAATTATTAGTTGTTAACATTATTTATTATTATTAAATATCGTATTATCTTTTATACCAATAATTAGTATATTATATGTGCAACTTAACTTAGTCAGTTCTATATTAACAAACTTTTAAAGTTTTTCGATATGCAGCATAAGTATTTGTTTTGTGCTTCAAAAGATCTTCCACAAAATCCAAGTCTGTACTATTTATTTCTCCTTATAGATTTAGCAAGAAATATATGGAAAGATGTCAAGCCAATTGTAGTTAACAAATTTGAAAAGTGTTGTAAGGATTTAGAATTTCTATTTCTTTTTAACTTACTGGACAACACTATCCCATTAAGAGTTGATATCTATTCTATCGTTTTTAAATTAGGCGAGTAGAAGTTATATTTGGAGAGTATTTTTAGAGCATAGTTTATTTTTTTGTAATTTGAGAGGCATAACTATAACAAAGCGCTATTAATATTTCTTTTAGATATATTTTATTGGATGAAAAATAACCATCTGATACTAAATATACTAATTGAGCATCTAGTTAAATTTTCAGATTATCCTGTTGAAAACATGTATAGTATTATTCGAAAACATTTCTTTCTGTTAGATTCGGCTATGCAATTTTCAAAAAAAGCAAAAATAGCTAACATAATAAAGACTATGAATACGTTTAAAGAAGTTTTTATTACTAAACAAAATGATACTAATTCTAACAAAGAGCGTTTATTACTACTTACAACTAAGACTAAAGTTTTTTTATTACAAATTTTTGAAAAAGTTTACAAGAATTTTAGAAAAAATAAAATTGTCCAGACGGCTAAAAGAGATCATCAATTTCATCTTGCAGTTTTAAACATCATGGCAAACAAGAAACAAATGCTGTTAGAATCCAGTAGTGATTGCATTCTAGCAAGAGATAAATGTGACTATTGTAGCACACTTTTAAATATTTCAAGTCTGAACCCTATTGTTCTTGTATATAGCCATGAATATCATGAAGCTTATTTTAATATTATTTTTTCTCAAAAATGTTCTTATTGTCAGTCTTTTCTTGAAAAGGTATTCAACTAAATATTTCTTTTTTAATTACGTGGTTAACAAAACATGACGATAAGAATCTTGTAGAAGATAATTACAAATCTAAAAGTCATAAAAAATCAAAAAATGCGAAAACTGAAGATTTGTCTTTAGAAGATAATATTCTTGCACAATTAGAAAAAGATAAAAGCAGATCTTCTTTAGTATAGGTGGGCATATAAAATTTATTACAAGATTATAATATATAAAATCTAACTAATTTAAGCTAATTTAAATTCTAACCTTAACCCTAACCCTAATAATTTATAAAATTACTTAAATTAGTTTAAAATAGTTAATTTATATATATTATAAT